GAAGGGATTTAAGGTGATCTTTGAGGACGTTGTAGCAAAGGTTACTAAAGGATCTTTAGTGGTGATGAAGGGAGTCCGTAGTTAGAACTTATATTATCTGAAGAGGAGCACCGAGGTTGGCCAGTTTGCTTTAGCTATTTCAGAGGCGGATATAAACAGACTTTGGCACTACAGGTTAGGACATATAGGAGAGAAGTCACTACAGGCTTTGTGCAAGCAGGGACTATTAAAAGGAGCCAAGAGTGGAAAAGTGGATTTCTGTGAGCACTGTGTTCTTGGCAAGAAAACGAAGGTGAAGTTCGGGACTGCTATTCATAGGATGAGGGGCATCCTGGACTATGTGCACACAGATGTTTGGGGTCCCACCAAGACGGCATTACCTGGTGGTCGACATTGGTTCGTCACGTTTGTTGATGACTATTCTAGACGTTGTTGGGTGTACAACATGAAGTATAAGAATAAAGTCCTAGATTTGTTTATGGAGTGAAAGAAGAGATTAGAACTGCAGACAGTGAGAAAGATCAAGACGTTACGATCCGACAACGGCGGCGAGTACACTTCAGACCCCTTTCAGCAGCTATATCGAGACAAGGGCATAGAGAGGCACTTTTTAGGATTGAGTTTGTTATAAATAGAAACATGTTTTTTAGGATTTCTTAAGGAGAGAATTAGCAGTCTTTTGAGCAGTTTGAGAGGGAGATATTGTGAGGGAGTTGAGAGCTTCGGTTAGGGTTATATTTGAGTAATTTTGTAAGTTGTAACCTGTTGTATTTCTCGTCCATATAGTAAAATCTCCCCATCCTCTCCCCGTGGACGTAGGAAATTGCTGAACCATGTAAATCTCTGTGTTTGGTTTGATTTGTGTCGTATTTTTGTGAATTGCACTCGTGTTTGGTTTGGTTTTTTTCTCTCATCGCTCACCGACTCGTTTGGTTGTCGAGCACGCTTCCGTACGGCGCGCAACATGTTTTTTTTAAATCATTCATACAAACAAAACGTCCAGCATGACATAATTCAATTTGAAGTACTATAAAATTGGGTAAACTGCTATAATTAGATCGAGACTATTATGAATACGGATCCTCTCAATTCTTCACTATCAAATAATAGTAAAGAGATAACTATTTTTAATTAACTATGGATTGTTTAGTCATTGACTTTTTAATTGTTATGAAAAACACCCCAGAATAAGCTAATATCAATCAAACGAGATCACGAAAAAAATATCAAGAACACACGAACACAAAGATATACGTGGATCTCTCAATCTATCAATCACAAATAACTCCCCAAAAGCCTAACACAACTCTCAACTAAAGTAACAAAAGAGAAAAATATCAAATAATCTTCACAAAAGAACCATCTCTCTTCTTGATTGATGCTCTAAAGATTGATGATAATTATTAGCTTAAAAGACTATTCTTATATAGCCTTGAAGATCACAGCTCCTTGTTGTCTAAGGAATAAGTGTTCTAATAGGAATAGAAGTCCACATGTCCTAAAACCCAACAAGAGTCCAAGTAGAAATAAAACTCTAATATGATTGGTTGTATAAAGTCTAATGTAAATAGGACTTTTGATCAAAACAAACCAACCTAAAAAGGAACTCCCAAAGCAATATGGATTTGAATAATTGAGGCAACCTATAACAAATCTCCACCTTGACTCAAATACGTAGAAGATTCCACACTCCAAAATAACCTAACTTACTACACCTTCTCCAATAACCCGTAAGGCATCTAAGTGCGGCACGTATTGATCAAGTCCAAGCCTGACTTGAACTTGCTAACTGAAAGAGGCCTCCTCAACAAATTGATTAAATTGTACGCAAGACGACCATAACTCTTAGTGAAGTCATCACCTGAAATAGCTCCTTAAATAGCTGAAAGGCACAAAATTTTCAACCGACAATGCATAAGCTACCTATCTTTATATCTTCGCAGTGGTTGAATATCTTGTCTAGATCGATCTCTAGCAATAGTGTATTCCCACTCTTCTTACAACTACTGAGGTGCTTCATATACTTGAACGGGATCTGGTTGTTGAACTCCCGTAGTCTTATCTTGCTGAAGTGCTGAATCACGAATTTCTAACTCCACCTTATATCCTGTAGTGCGCTCCTTATCAACAACTAAAACTTATGACCGTTTCTGGTGGAACATAGTAGATTCATCAATAGTAGCATCATGGCTAATAATAATCTTAGGAGATTTCGGATCAGGACACCACAATCTAAAACCCTTAACACCCTAGCATAACCTAAGAATATGCATTCCTTTACTCGTGGCTCAAGTTTCCCTTGACTAACATGCATATGTAGGGCAACCAAATATTCTAAGATTAGAATAATCCGTAGGCTTATCAGACCAAACCACCTCTGGAGTTTTACAACTAATAGCAGTAGATGACGACCGATTCACTAAGTAACAAGTCGTATTCACTGCTTCCGCCTAGTATTCCGTACCTAAGCCTGCAATGAACATCATACAACGAGCTTTCTCTAATATGGTTCTGTTCACATGTTCTGCCACTCCATTCTGTTGTGGCGTGCGAGGGACTGCACGATGTCTAACGATTCCCTCCTTCTTACAGAACTTATTAAACTCTCCTTCACAAAACTTAAGGATATTATTAGTTCTAAGCCTCTTAATCAGTCTCCCAGTCTGCTTCTCAATCAAAGACTTTTACTTCTTGAAAGTCACAAATACCTCATATTTATATCTTAAAAAGTAGACCCAAACCTTTCTGAAGTAGTCACCCATGAAGGTCAACAAATATCTAGAACTACCACCCCTTGAGGCAACTTGAGAAAGTCCCCAAAGCCCTGAATAGATATAATCCAATGTACATTTAGTCTGATGCACTGTCGTACTGAAGCTGACTCTTTTCTGCTTTTCAAAGATGCAATGCTCGCAGAATCCCAATTTTCCTATACTCTGTCCACATAAAAGACCCTTCTTACTTAACTCAGTCAACCCGCTCTCACTCATATGACCAAGTCTCATATGCCAAAATTTGACAGTATCAACTTCTGACATCGACGATGTAACTGTAGTCGAGCCGGTAACGGTAGAACCCTGTAAAACATACAAGCTGTTGATCTTCTTTCCTTTAATAACCACAAGAGAGCTTTTTGTAACCCTAAGAACTCCACCTTCACTTGAAAAATACACCCAATGCTATCAAGAGTGCCCAAAGAGATGAGATTCTTCCTTAAATCTGGAACATGCCTAACATCTGTCAAAGTCCTGATGACTCCATCATGCATCTTAATCTGAATTGTGCATTTCCCAACAGTCTTGCATGAGGCGTTGTTCCTCATAAGAATAACTTCACCATCAATAGCTTCATAAGTGGTGAACCAGTCCCGATTAGAACACATATGATAGGAACAACCAAAATCCAAGATCCAATCATTCATGCTCCTATTTATATCATATGTAGCCAACAAAATTACATCTTTAGTAATATTAACTTCAGCGGAGTCCTTCTTTGATTTTTCTTCATACTCTTCTTGTTTATTTTTGTTCTTCAATCTGTAACAATCGGTCTTGATGTGTCATTTCTTCTTGCAATTTCTGCAGGTCAGATTCTTGTGCTTCGACTTATACCTGTTACCTCTAAAGCCCCTTTCTTTCGATCTTCCTCAAACAAACAAGCCATCGGCTTTATCGCCACTTTTACTTGTGGTTAACTCTTTGTCGATCTTCTTCTTATTCAATAAGTTCTCTTTAACGTCCTTGATACTAATTGAATCTCGACCATAAATCATAGTATTCCTGAAGTACTTGTAGGAAGGCGGCAAAGAACACAATAACATTAGGGCTTGATCTTCATCATCGATCTTAACAACAATCTTACTCAAATCAATAATCATAGAATTAAATTCACCAATATGAGATTTGATAGGTGTTCCTTCCAACATCCGAAGTGTATACAAACGCTGCTTCAAGAGGAGGCGATTAGTGAGCGGCTTCGTCAAATACAAATCCTTCAATTTAGACTACAAATCAGCGGCTATTTTCTCCGTGAGAACTTCTTGCAAAACTTCATTTGTCAAACATAATTGCATCGCTGTGAGAGCTCTATCATCCAACTCGTTCCAATCTTCCTTCCTCATAGTAGTCGGTTTCTTTGACTTCTCGAACAAAGCCTTCTTCAATCCACTCTGTATCAACATGCCGATTATCCTATAACTTGCCAAAGGCTAAAACTGATATTGCCGTCAAACTTCTCGATATCCCACTTCGTATTAGTTGTCGTCATCTTCTCGTCTGATCGATAGCTGAGGGTTCTGATACCAAATTGTTATGACAAACTCCCCAGGATAAGTTAATATCAATCACACGAGAGTACGAAAAAATATCAAGAACACACGAACACAAAGATATGCGTGGTTCGGATTGTAGCCTACGTCCACGGGTAAGGAGGAGAAAAGCTTTACTAATTTTGAGGAATTCAAAGAGGATCTGAATAAAAGATGGAACCTCTGTACATGTTGTTTGGAAATTGGTGGTTTCGAGATAAAGGGGTGAATTTGAATTAAGAAACGCCACCTTATTTGACACCCTTCCTCACGTGAAAATAACCCTTATCTTACAGGGGTGTAAGTAAATAGAAAAGCGTTCTTTATATTTTTGGAATTTTTATTACAAAATGGTCTGCCTCAAGGGAGAAATTTTTTAAAAGTTGCAGACGTATGACCTGTGTCATTCTTCCCATGCCGCGCACATGTTTGGGATTGTCCTTACGCTTGACGTTTTTTTTCTGCATATGACGTACAATTTTCAAATAATCTTGGGGAAAATGTTGCTTCCACTCAGTGACTATTTTCAGCATGTGACTCACTCCATTCTGGATTTAGCTAGGGAGTTTTTGACGTTTGAGTCAAAGCAAAGAGTGTTACATGCCTAAATTTTTTATATAAGCAGGGGGCCTGAGGTAACTTTTCCAATATTTTATGGGGGATGAGAAGAAACATGCGTGGTAGGCACCCTCGCTGGAGGTCATGAGGTTAAAGACGACAACGTCGGATGCTAACATTATTTAAGGCTTTGATAACCTCAATTCTCCTCCTCAAAAAAATTCTTCTCTTCAAAGATCACCGAAGAAGAGCAAATTAAAGACGATGAAGGCAAGCACCGCAGCAATCGAAGTTATCAAGTCCAACGATGCAGCTCTCTTCCTCCTCCTGTGGATCTTCTCCTTCATCGTCCTCCGTGCTCTCTTCGGTCGGTGGCGACGAAGGGGATTGCGCCTTCCCCCGGGTCCCCTGGGGCTTCCGATAATCGGCCATCTCCATCTCCTGGGCCCCATCGCCCACCAAGCGCTCCACAAGCTCTCCCTCCGCTACGGCCCGGTCTTCTTCATCCGTTTAGGATCCCTCCCGTGCGTCGTCGCCTCGTCAGCCGAAGCTGCAAAGGAGTTCCTCAAGACCAATGATCTCTGCTTCTCTGACAGACCCCCAATCAAAGCTTCTGCCTATCTCACCTACGGCGCCGCTGATTTTGCGTCTGCTCCCAATGGTCCCTATTGGAGGTAAAGCCTAGTACAGATGGAATCCTCGCGATGAACTGTACTACGTGCATTTGCGTATCTTCATGCATCTCTCTCTCTCTCTCTTTCATTAATAGGTTTATGAGGAAGCTCTGCATGACAAACCTGCTAGGCGGGAGAACCCTTGAGCAGCTCCTCCCCGTGAGGCGCCAGGAGATTTCATCCCTCTTGAGAACGTTGTTCGAGAAATCGGGGAAGGGGGAGGAGGTCCACATGGGGGAGGAGCTTCTGAGGTTGACCAACAACGTGATATGCAGGATGGCAATGGGGCAGGCGTGCTCAGGGAGTCATCTGGAACCAGCGGACGTCCAGAAGATCGTAGGAGAGGCCACCGAGATCGTAGGTAAGTTCAACCTGGCAGACTACGTAGGATTCTGCAAAAACCTGGACTTGCAAGGTTTCGACAAGAGACTGGAGGACTTGCACCGAAGGTTCGACAAGATGATGGAGGGGGTAATGAAGGACAAGGAGGAGACGAGAAAATTAGAAACCGGAACTGACCAAGATAGGCCAAAAGATCTGCTTGATATACTGCTGGATATAGCTGACGATGACGGCGCAGACATGAGGCCGACGAGAGAGAACATCAAGGCGTTCATAATGGTAAGAACCCTAAAAACGGTCTTTCATTAATTTTTCTAAAAAGAATTACCATGATCGAGTGCATGTATAGAGGCGGCATTATTACTTTCAAAATTAAGGCAAGCCGAAAAAACAAGAGAGTTAACCATTTAGGCTCTCGGTGTTGTGCAGGATATATTTGTTGCAGGTACCGATACTTCAGCACTTACACTGGAGTGGGCAATGGCGCAACTCATCAACCATCCGGCCATACTCCAGAAGGCTAGAGATGAAATATACTCGGTCGTCGGCACAAACAGGCTCGTCAACGAAACCGACATCCCAAATCTCCCCTACCTCCAAGCCGTCGTAAAGGAAACGCTTAGGCTCTATCCGTCGGTCTCAATGGTCCTCCGTCAATCGACCGAAGACAGTAGGATCAACGGCTACGACATCCCAGCAAGAACGAGGGTGTTCGTCAACTTATGGGCCGTCGGACGGGACCCGAATCACTGGTCGGAGCCACTTGAGTTCAGACCGGAAAGGTTTGCCGAAAATGGTCAGAAGGGGGTGGACGTTAGAGGCCAGCACTTCCACCTGTTGCCGTTCGGCAGCGGTAGAAGAATCTGTCCCGGCGCGTCGTTAGCCTTGCAAGTTATACAACCAATGCTCGCCGCCATGATTCAGTGCTTCGATTGGAAGGTCGACACTGATCAGGGCATGGTGGACATGAGAGAGGCGCCAGGGTTGACCATAGCTCGAGCTCAACCACTTGTGTGCCGCCCTGTTGCTCTTCTTCAGCAAGTGCCGCTTGCTTGACACTGTGTCGACCAGGGTTTAAATGGCCGATTGCAGCTGGTTTAAATTGGATTCCCGTTTAATTTGGTTTAAGTTCGTGTGATAGTAATTACGTAGCGTGATGTTTGCCAAAGGAAGTATGTACCTTTTTTGACAAAATAATAAAATGGTGGTGTGAACCAAAAACCTTAATAATAAAATGGGAATATATATGTTTGTACTGAGTCGTATCGTCGCTCATGTCATTCAAAAAATAAAAATAAAAAATATTATCAGCCCATACGCGAAGAAAGTTTTTCGTCTAAATTCCAGTCCATTTGTTTGCAAATTTTGAAAGCTGCAGGTTTTGTTACCTCTTCCTGTTAGGATCACAATTCTTTTTGAAGCAAGAATTTGTGATGCCACGTCAGAGAAACTAATCAAGAACCAATTTCAACAGTGTCCCATTAGCTTCCTAGAATCTGGAAGTGGCAGTAACTTTTAAATTAGTTAAGGGGTTTTGTGTTACTGAAGTTATAGAAGAACAGTTGTCCAACATTTACCCTTGACAATTAAAAAGGTTACTTTCTAAATAAAATAAAAAAAATTCTAATTGCTACAAAACATAAAAGCAGATGTTGACGGGATGTCTGGTGACTAATTTTTAACACTTTAAAGTGACATGTGAATACTTGGATCAGAATCAAAAGGGAGCAACATGCTATTTTAAAAAATACAAGATACTTAAATATATAAAAATTACCGATATATAAGTGCTGAAGAATGTAAAATATAAAGGCTTTTTTTCCCCTTACAACTTGAGAAGAACAACTCTAGTGGATTTTATTTTTTAAAGTGGATATCGGATTTAAACCGGTTCAAACCACTTTACAAACAGTAGGCTCGACACAAACCGAAAACAAAACAAAAACCGAACCGAACAGCTTAAAATTAGGCGATTCGGTCGGTTTAATCGGCTCGGGACATATTTTGCTCAGTCCTAAATGAGAAGAAATATAATGATCAGAGAGCTACCGACCGATCATAGATAACTTCTCTATCTGTAAAAATGACTTCTTTGTCTGCACAAATGAGAAGACTAGGAGAGGAGCTGAGCAATGCCCGATGCAGAAGCCTCACTGTATAAAAATAAGAGGCTGACGGGCTGGAGAGGTGTCCAGCATAGCGATGGAGCAGCAAACTTGTACAAGTTAGACCTTTTTTTATTACTTGTGAATTATATCGTATGTTTATTAAGATTACAAATTGGTTGTTAAGGTTAAAGATTGGTTATTAGGGTTACATATTTGTTATTAAGTATATGGATTGGTCGGTTAGAGATTGGTTGTTAAGGTTAGAAATTAGTTGTTAAGTTTACAGATTACCTGTTAAGTATATGGATTGGTTGTTAAGGTTAAAAATTGGTTATTAAGTTTCTTCATAATTATATTTTGAAAATGTTAATTAATATCCTTTTTTTTTTGAATCAGGCACTCCACAAGACGTGGCTGACACTAAGTTTGAAAGGTAATTTCCTCAACCTGACTTTACTGATACACTACAACACCTGAAATCTACCATAGCGGTCGAAAAATGCTATGGTATTATTTCATAGCGTTTTAATCAACGCTGTGTCAGAACCCGCTATAGTAGGTCTGTGGCTTTACATAGCGTTTCCCCAAACGCTATCAAAAAGTTTCCAACCATAGCGTTTTTATGTAGCTATAAAAGAGTATTCAATAGCGTTTCTATATTGCTATGACAAATATCTTTCATAGCGGTTGAAAAACGCTATTAGTTAGTTTCCAACCATAGCGTTTTTATGTAGCTATAAAAGAGTATTCAATAGCGTTTCTATATTGCTATGACAAATATCTTTCATAGCGGTTGAAAAACGCTATTAGTTAGTTTTCATTCATAGCATTTCAACGTTGCTATTGTCTTACATTTGATAGCGTTTGAGTTACTACAATGGCGTTTCAGTGAATGTTGTCTTTCTTCTTTTAATAGCATTTCAGTAATTGTTTTCACTTCTTATAGCATTTCAGTTGTGCCTATAAACCTTTGAGGTTGAACTAGAAATAACTTCCAATTGTGACAACCATAAAAGCAAATATTTCATTTAAACGTTCAAACTGATACATAACCAAGTTGTAGCATACAAGAAGAGTCAACACAAATGTGCCAAAAAACAAATACTAGTCTTTGGATAATCCAACATGGAGTACAAGAAATTAACCATAGTACACAGAACAACAAAAACTAACTTCGTTGCATTACATATGACTTGGGAGGCTCATCATCTTCAGAAATTGAGTACTAGTACTGCTGCAAAAACAGAAATTAACAACACCAAAATTACTCCAAGCTCATAGTAAAACGCAAAACCAACCCGTCACTAGAAAAGAACAAATTTTAATTTACGCAAAAATCAGTTGAAGCAATGCTCAAAATCGAGGAAGAACCGAAGACCACCGTATTTACAGATGATTTACCTGATGTGGCATTACTCCAAGACCAGAAGGACTAGAGTCTTTGGTGATGCTTTCGCCCGGCCTCTGCCTGTAGGAACAACATTTAAGCAGGCCAAGGAGAATAAACAAGTGATACTCAGGGCTGCAAGATGACAAGAGTGAGTTGATGAATACAACTTCAAACAGGTCTCATTTCATTTAATATAAGAATAGGAGGCAAGAATAAAGAAACTAAGCTGACTTCAGGATGGCTGTCAGAGCATCCTCCAAATTTGACAGTATGAGAAGTGAACAGAGTAAGTGCCAATCTCCGACGTAAACAAATGGATCTATAGGTACAGGCAATCAGTTGGTAGAGAGATAAATCAACAGACACATTCATTTGTAGACGTACTCACCAAAGAACATTCATAAGCAACCTGCAAGAGTCTACAGAAGAGCTAAATTAAATATCCTACATTTACAGTCTAATTCTTCCACAGATGTATGCATTCAGAAGCTACTTGGTACAAGTCAAAAAAGTGAAACGTAGGCATACAAAAAATCGATGATCAGATTTCCAACAACTCCACTTATGGTGGAAAGCAAATGATAACCTTACTCCTTCCCTGTACAGGTGAGTGTTATAGCTATAGTTCTTGAGGCAAAATACAAGCACCTCGAACCATTCAATTTTCGACACAGGACCAAATTTAAGCTCTCGCATCAAGGAAGACAGGATCAATTAAAAACTAAAGAGCTGAACCAAGAGTAACGATAATTTATATATACCCACGTAAGCAAAACTAGATGTTGAGTACACATGCCTTAACCATTGATGAAGCAGCCTGCAAGACCAATAATGAAGCCATAATTAACACATATCACAAAAGAATCTAGAATGCTATATTCAAATCATATGCTCAAGGAAGTAATCTCGAAAACTCCCAAGCGAATTCAGAATTGCTATGTTTTATGTAATCATATGCTTGGTTCAGGACATACATTACTCCAGAAGATGCTTTCCCCTTTCTGAACACTGGAAAAGAACCGGTCCATCTTGGGGAGCAAGTAATACAGATTCTAGCTCAGTATATATTAGCCATGAAGAACTTAACTCGAAATGTAATTTTGCAACCAAATATTAGAATTGACAAGGCCAAGCAAGTAAAATATTTCGAAAGGCAAAAATTTTAACATGCCAATAAATAAAAATGTGCCTGATACTGTATCATGAGGCCTTAAGTTCAAATATGAGGCATGTAAATATGGTTGAAGAACCTGATCATATTGTGGATGTGGAATCAACTGGAAGATATGCACCTATGTTCATCATTTCAAATTGCAAAAATCAACATAGATAACACTAAAAAGTAAAAACATGTCCAAGCTTGTCCACTTGATATGAAGGAAATATAACACATCCACTCGATATCCGCCTCTAGAAATTGCCAAATTGCCACTTGATTTCCGACCAAAAACAAGATGTTTGGCAAGATACAGATTTGCCATGAAACCTAAAAGATCGATAAACAGGCAGAGAGTTACCTATCAAGCAAGTCAATTATATTCATAGTGCTGTTGAAATCTCCATAATAGTGTCAAGTCTAGACAAAAATGCTTAACACATAATGTCAAGCTCATCTTGTTAACTTCCTCGATGCCCTTGACCACAACGCTGTAATTAGGATGCCAGTGATTTGGTTTGCTATCAATGTACCTGGTAAATTCGCAAAGGAAAATACAAGATTTTGCAAAATGGTTTAATAGATGAAAAATAAAATGATTACACAGATGTATCTAAGTGTGCACAACTATATTATATTCAAGTTTGTTATAACATAATATAAATCTAATTATTTCATGAACTTCTATCATAGGTGCTCGTGCATGTGCATCATAATTACATTTCTAATCTTTTTCAAGTAACTAAGTTTTACAAATGGCCGAGTGGACTAGAACAACTGATGCATGCACATTCAAGTTTGTTATAACATAATATAAATCTTAATTCCTGGACTTATATTGTAATTACATTCCTATTTTTTCTCAAAAAACTAGGACTTCCACAAATAACCAAGTGAACTAGAATAGCTGAAGAATGCATCAAAAAAGATAAGTCTCTCCCTTGGAAACATCGAAGTGGCTTATGCAAAAAGAATCATAGGGGTACTAATACAGATTCTAGGTCAGTATATATTAGCCATGAAGAACTTTTGTTTGCTAACAGAAGATGATGAAATCAAAGCATCACAAATTCGCACGGATGATCAAGCCGGTGGTGCATCAATTCGCGTACAGTATCGTGGTGCTGCTGCGCTAAAATAGAACCATCATGAACTTTTTCAGGTCTCTTGTGAAAAACTACCATAAACTGTCCAAAGGTTATTGGCAATACTAACAATGGTTGCAAGTTGGTTGCTTGCACACAAACCGTTCAAATTGCCTCGCCACTGTCGTATGCAAAATAAAACTTCTTAGGGACCAATCATCTTACCACAGTAAGCTGGTGCAATTTTGTCTTTGCGCAGCAGTGGAAGATTTCCTGAGTGAGCCATCAATGCATAGACCTCTTTAGCCAAGCGCTTAGGGACTCAGATCAGCCATTTTATCAGACATAACAAAAGGGGTTAAATCCTAACCTTAGTTCCATCTCTCCCTTTTCGATCTGCAGAAAATACACCTCGTCGCTGAAAATACACACAGCGTTAGAGGGAAAGTTAAGAAATATGATAGATTTGAGGGACCAATTTTAGACCCCTTAAAG